AGTAGGGCAAATAAAAGATTTTAACAATTTTTTTACTTAATAAGGGTTATTTAGACACTTAAAGCTTTGAATTGATATTTTTTTCATAGGTCCGGTTTAATATAAAAACTAACTTTGAGGGTATGTAAATCTGTTAACAATGAGTTTTGGTCATCCTGTATAAACAATATTCTAGTAGATGTTCTCTATTTCATTCAGAGATAACTTGATTTCTGGAGTAATCATATATGTAGATGCAAATTAAGGTATTCTTCATATTTGCTTGTGCATTTTTATAGTTCAATTGCAAAAAGAAATATTAATTTTCCCAGTTTTCTCTTTTTTTTTCTGATTCTGATTCTGATTTTTTTCTAATGGGATGGTCATTATTAAGTCTCTATTTGAGAACAATTTGAATAATGTATACTCCTAGCTAGATAACAAAAACGAAACCTAAAACTTTCATTTCATTATGTTCATATAAAATAAATACTTTTAGGTAAACGACCCCAAATTCAAAATAACTTATTTCTTGATTTATCAACTTTCAGAAAGTGTGTTCTAGCGTGTCTAAATTATTTATTACGAAAAGGGTAAATGAACCTATTAATCAATAATTCAGTGAGAATATTACACCTAAACAATTTTTTAGCACTGTTATAGAAGCAATAAGGAAGTAAAACTATTTCATATAAATATTACCCTAATATATTTTTTAAGAATTATTTAATTTATTTTTACCATGTATACAAGGTGATTGAGTCATAATGTCATTAATTTTAAATGAGGATAGGGAAAATTAATAGAATCCGAAAAAGCGATTAAAAAAACTTTTAAATGCATATTTACACTGAAAAAAATTGTCAACCCAAAAACCTTTATCGAGAGTGAATCCTGACCTACCGTGTATTCGATCATTAATCTAGCTTTTACTGCATTTTTAATCCTTAGTGAAAGATAAGGAAAAAACAGATCTTTTTACCTAGTCCCATGAATGAATAATACATTCTAAACAATAAGCACTATTTGTTTGTTAATAGAAATGAAGGTATAACGATAATAATTGTTTTCTGTTATTACGATTTAATATTTTCAATATTGTTAACGTTTTCACTATGTTTTGTAATTGAATATGAGTTTTTAGTATTATTGTATTATATTGCTTCAAAGAGTAGTATGGTACCTACTTATTTAAAATGCGAGTACGGCTAAAAAAACGGTACTCTGTTAATAAAATAGGAATCCGCTGCACTTTTGAAACTAATTGCAAAATTCAACACGATTGGGGAAATCAGCTATTTCTCTTCAACGTTCTAACGTTCCCTGTCAAAAATTAAGGGTTGCTTATTTTAAAAAGTTATTTCTTTTTGCAATTTTCTGGCTTTATATGGCCTTCGGAATACGTGATTAAAGGTAGTGACATTATAACTGAAATTTTAAGTTGTTATTCTACTCCTTGTAACTGGAGGGAAAAAAGAAGAATATCCAGTAAATGCCTCTTGAATAGTAATAAAAGTTTACATTATTTAATTTTTGTAACTTTCCATATTAAAGAAAAAAAAATAAAACTATTTTTCTCTCTTTTCGTTTCTACATGAAAACCCCGCTGAGCAATCACATCCTAAATTGTTTCGCTCTTATTTATTTACACCCTATATACCACATGTAAAAAAAATATTTCAAAAGAAGCATCAAGTAATGTACAGTTACAGTTGTGAGGAAAGTACTTAATTAAATTAAAAATATATGTATTGAGCGAAAAAAATGTTGGAGTATCTTTTGTACTTATAGCTTTTATATTAATTTTTACAATAATTTTTACATCTCTTGGTACAGGTGAAACGATTATTAGCATTTCTTAAATTTTGTACTTTTTAACAGATTCTTTCTCTCAGTGTACCTATTGAAATATTATCCCGTCAAGCTGACTTCACCAGATAACTTTTAGTACCCAAATCGATACAGCGAGGCAGAGAAACACGAAGAAACGCAATTCTCCTGCGAATATAATCCCAGATAGGACCTTGATTTATCCCTTAATTTGTGTAAGTAAATTGTTGGTTGCCTACACAACAATATTAAGCTAATTGTTTATGTTCAAGGCATCGTATAAACACTGGTACGTTTCGACTTTCCATTTTAGAATCTCTCTCTCAATGTTAATTTCGTCAAGGAGGGAATTCCCTACTCCAGTCCATTCGATACCTTCGAACATCTATGCTCTAGTTGTCCAAATAGTTAGCGTAGATGTTTCTTTGGCCAAACATAAGAAAAATAGTTCATAAAAACAGAACTGTACTAATGTTTCGTTCTCGAGAGAGAATTTGACAAAGAAGTTATTTATTTCTGGCATAGATTTGGTTTATTTCTTTATTTTTTTTTGAGGTTGTTCGCCACTTGTTAAAAAAATTAACAAAATTAGTACTCTTGCGCCAAATGGATCAAGTCAAAGGTATTTTTATGAAACTTAACCTAACAAAAAAATCGCACACAGAAAAATGCAGACAAATAAAAAATACAAAAGTACATCACTTAATGTCGCGCACTTTGTGAGATTTGAGACTTGTTGATTAGGCAAAACTATTTTCATAAAAATAACTCTTGGCCCATTAGGCGCAAGGGTTTATTTAACTAATCTTTTTTTCACATGTGGCAAAACATCCAAAAACAAAGGTTCATAATTTTTTTCTACATTAATTTGAATTAAACTGTTTTAAGATAGTTTCCTCAAATTTAGTATGTTCAATACCTTTTTGAGCAATATCGAATTATCGTTTAAAATAATCTATGGGTGATATTTCTCGTGGAACCACCACCGCCACCACCAAACTTTTTTGACACTATTTAATCTTTCATTTGAAAATAAAACAGCGTTTCTATTCTATTATTTAACTTTTTGGTTTTATTTTTTAATATTTTTAACTTCTTGGATGATATTCGCCACGATAATAGTTGATGATAGTCACATTTTTATGATGTTTAATTACCTATAAGTAAACCTCTACCTACTATGATTTCAAGTCTGATAACCCAACTGGCTAGCGAATAGAATCATCGGTACCAATTCATCTGTCAGCAAAAGTGCAGTCCAAGTGAAAATAACTTAAATAATGAATTCTTATCATCTTATATCTCAAATTTTATTGTAGAGTTTTGTAGAATCCTAAACCTTTAGAATCCATTTTTAATAAATGCATTTTAGTCCATTGGAATGCGATGTTTATGAACTTGCAGATTTATGTTTAATGGAAGTTTAAATAAATAAGTAGATTGTTAAAAATTTGCCCTAGTAAAAGTTGCCTAAAAATTTGATTCAAGATTATTCTCTGCGTGTAGACTTGTGCAACTATTTTTACACTGATCAAAAAATGAAAGCTCTTTCTTAGTAATCAGCTTTTCCTTGTTCATCTTTAACTGCATCTCTGTAATCTCTTTAAAAAGAGGATCCTGAATTCTCTTTAAAAAGACGATCTTATTTGAGGTTCAATAAAGATGCTCTCTTTCAGATTCGCGTTACTTAATTGAAAAAAAGACTGTCTTTAGGTACGTGAAGCTACCATTTTAATTGTCCATAACTTTTATGAAGTTCTTCATAAGTCTCAATTTCCACAAGGACATTTTACTTTATAATTTAGAGGTTCAAAAAATAAATTCTTTTACAAAATGCTCTATTATTGCTCAACTTAAAATAGTTGTACCTGTGTGAATTTACATAGATGCGTCAAATGAAATATGTAATTATAAGGGATAAGGGTATATATCGAATATTTTAAACCCTAGAGGATGCAACTAAGTAGTTATTGTATCCGAGATTTTCGAAGGCTGCGTTGCCATATCCGTCAAACTTTCCCTAAGTCTGGGGAGAACTAGATTTGTAAGTGTTGTATTTTTGGACTTTCCGACCTTCATAACCTATAGGTAACTATGGAATGCATACAGGTATTCAAAAATAAAACATTGTATAACCCTTTTATAAATAGACATTAAAATAACTACTAGTTCTTGAAGAAATACCTTTTGATGTATGTCAGCCTACTTGATAGAATTCGACTTCATTACTCACATGATGTACAGAAATGTTTGAATGCTAAATTTGCTGATAGATTCTCTGAATTTAAGTCTTCTAGACTTTTATTTTTGGGATATTTAAAAAATGTAATATATTACAGAGAAGTCATTGATATTGGAGAACCAGTACAACGGATTGAAGATACATCACAAATTATTGGAAAACAGAAGCATGTTTTTGTAAAGGTCGGTCGCTGTCACGGCAACTCGGCATTTAAATATTTGAAAAACTTGTTCCCATATTTATTTAGCCATACCCATATACAGGTCTAGTCGAACTAAATGTGGAGGTGGTAGAAGTGTATAAGCCAGTTGAACAATGCGAACAAATGGTGTATAACACAGCCGCACTGGGTGACTGAACAATGAATCTCAGTTGTTGACAAGTGATTGACAAATTGCCTAGTAGTGCAGTGCAGCAATGCGGAATTTGGTGTGTTCAGGAAATTTTAATTTATTTTAGGCACCTTCTATTAATCATTCATATTACAATTATTGCGAAAGGGAGAAATAAGAGGGATATTTTGTTCACTAATATTATTACAACATGGCATTTTGGAGACCTTTTGAAACGGAACAAAATTAAAATATGTTGGCCAAATAAAACAATAGAATTTTTCTACACATTATATACAAATTTATTATATATAAATTTTATTGCTAGGCGTTTTTATACATGTTCGACTGACTTCGGAATGACTATAACGTCTGAGTATTCTATTCAAATATGAAATATGAATAGGAGTTTTATGAACACCGTATAAAATAAAGTCTTTCATGCAACTATAAAACATTTTATAAAATAAAATGGAACCAACTTGACGTAAAAATGTGACAAACTCCATGACAGAAAACAATGCGTGAGGCAAGTTTCCGTTCCCGATTTTCGCGAACTGTGCCGTATATACTCCAAGGTTCTTTCTGGCACCGCTTATGATATAGTGACGTCATCCACGGCTATCGTGTCTAAAATGCGCTGTAGTTCTGTAGAACAAAATTAAAGCTAAACCTAATACTACCGCTGTGTCGCGGATCTTTGTGCTGTGCTGTGAATTGTGACATTTTTCAATTGCATTTCATATTTTCCCGGATCTGAGATAAATCGGATTACGCAGGTAGGAAAGGGCGCAGTTGCTCCATTCTATTTTTCGTTTTTCTGCAGGGAATAATATCCTTGAAACAGGTTTCATTCGCTTTATTCGGGACATAGAGAAGTTAATGGATCGTTATTACTTATGTATAATTGTAAACGTCGTAAAATTTGCTGTGGGTACATTTTTGCTGGGTCACATTTACGTTATGGAATATTAAATTTTATGAACTTTAAATTTAGCGGCGGTAAAGTTTTGCCAACGGCGGCGTGTTGAATTCAAATCTAATAACATTCATTTCGCTCGTTTGGCGTTATTGATTTCCACTGCAAATCGTAGAGATTTTACGGAAAATATCCTGTAACGAATAGAAAATATTGAAATATTGCTATTTGGGAAAATACACAACACCGCCAACACCTAATAATAGATAAATTTTATTTGTTAAACTATTTGGTTGTAATTATTATTATTGTCAAATAACTAATAACCTTAAACAGTAGTTCTCTTGTTTTAGCCGTTTATGGTGTGATCAAAAATGCAAATAGAACTTAGCCGATGTCTTTAAACCATCGATTACAATAATCTCATAGAGGATCGGTTTTTTACTCATACATGGTGTCATCGAAACACAGGGTATTAGGGTTTTTCCATATAAAAAAAATCCGTGGTGTGTTCCAAGTAAAATAAACCAATTTTTTCAGTATCAGAAGTATCATACATATATCGAATCTGAACATCTTTCTTTAAGCACATTTGTAAAATAATGTTTTTCATCTGAGCTCGGTTTTCTAGTGTGCTTTTATTTGAAATATTGTAAACAAACGCTTTGAATATTATTATTTTTAGTTATAAAGACTGAAATTTTGTTTGTTATTGATGTTCTTGTTCTTCTCTGTTTTGTGTATTATATTTACTTTCTACTAATTTAAAACTTGAAGGCATCCCGATCCCAAATATAGAGGGATATGGAAAAATAACGTCATACAACGTTTTTATTTCGGATATCTTTGTTAGTTCTTAAAGTTAAAATTTGGAAATCGATTTTTTATTGTTACTAATTTTTGGGTAAAAGCTGCATTATTTGAAGCTATTTCTGCAAATGCATTCAATTTACATGACTACTTTGGAAGCTTGAAGGTAAAGCAGTTTTGGCACTCAAAAATATTTTTTAAACTTTTTTAATTTTAATAGTCATTTTTACATTTTTATTTGTGAAAAAGATATGTTTGTTTGGTGTCGATTCAACGCACCATTTTCGAGATAAACCTGTTTAATGATACAGATACCATATTATTTTCCACATATCTGAACAATAATAAAAACTAATAATAAAAGTAATAAAAGTACTCTTGATTCTTTAAGTAACAAAATATGTAAATGTATAAAGTCAAACGACATTTAATATAATTTATTTTGTTGCATAAACGATTAGTTTTGTTTTAATGTTAATTGCGTTTATCTTGAATACGGTTGTTCGTGGTGTCGATATCAAACACGTACACTTTTTTTCACATAGAAAAGGTAAGACAATCTTAGAAATGGAGATGCAATTATATTTTTTTTTTGTGGGAGGGGGGCAAGATTGCTGAGGAACTCTGCCGGAATTGAACAGAGAAGTGGAAATAATTTCAAATAACATAATGAGGAAAAACAAAAAAGTTGTAATGAAAAATAGATTTTCAACTTCAAGAACTGTACAGGGTGAGGCTGAATAAATAAATAAATATACAGGGTGTTTGTAAATAAGTGCGAGATATTTTAGGGGGTGGTTGCCGAAGTTATTTTGTGAAAAAAAGTTTCTATAAACGTAGGTCGAAATATGCTTCGTTTCCGAGATACAGTGTTTAAATTTTCATTTTTTATTTATTTTTATTAATTATTTCTAGCAATAAAATATGTCTTATTTTTTTCCTCAAAAACGGTGCATACTACGAAAAAAATTGAAGAGGCCAATTTCATTCATAATTGATGGCGAATTTCTAAAGAAATATCAAAACCGGAAAAAGTCAGTGGCATACCATTTTTTTTATTAAAAAAGTTTGTGGCAGTCTCACACGAACGCCACTGGTGCATGTAGAAATATTTGGATCACCCCAAAAACGCACATTTAGCACTCCAAAGCGTTTTTCAAATTTCGAGTAAACCAATATCTTTAAAACTGTAATAATTAATAAAAATAAATAAAAAATCAAAATTTAAACACTCTCTTTAAACATCCCGGAAACAAAGCATATCTCGAACTACATTTATACGAACTTTTTTTCACAAAATAACTTCGCAACCACCCCCTAAATTATTTCGCACTTATTTACAAACACCCTGTATAAATTTTTATAAATGTTATTAAATCATGTTATTTTCATATCTACTTATTAATATTCATCCCACCAAAATATATCTCGAAAAATAATTTAGTATTTTTTCAACTGTTCTTATTCCAAGTTTATTTTTTCAATTTTTCCGATTTTCTTTTTCTAGAATTTTTAATTTACATATCTATAATATGCTAGATTTAAAAAAAATGGCAATAAACGTTTCTATGCACTGTCCGAACTTCCAAATTTTGCCGACCCATTTTACCATAAGAAAAAAGTTAGTAGGAAAATTAGTACTTAGTAGAGCTGTCAGAACTGAGCCGCGGGACATAGGCGTACCCATTACTTATTAAAAAGCAACATATTAAATTGTATAGAATACACTACCATAAACAGCAACGGATAGGAATTAATCACACAACATACGCACGATATCAAAGCAACAGTATACCAACATGATGTGAACGTGAAAAGCATTCGGAGGCAGCGGCTCACGCATGTCTCGGTTGACCCGCTTGGCACGCCATTGAATTGCGGCTGTCTCTGACAGCCTTAGTGATTAGTGATTTTAGCACATTATCACCAAAGTTTATCGTTAATTTTCTCGAAAAACTGTTTTTGTGACGCTCTTTGAAAGAAAAAGATGAGATTACAATCTATAATAACTACCCTCGTTTGAATTTGATTAGTTATTTGTTATTTTGGATCTATTTGATGACATTTATTTTCGGCACTGCACTTTTATCACCCGGTAACTTTTTTACTAAACATTTTCGAACCCATGTTCATAGACATCGTTTTCTTGAAATGACATTTTCTATCTCCTGACTCAGTTTGGCATCATATTTAAAAAATACTCTGTACCTATTTATGAAATAGACATTATACTTATTAGCACCAGAAATATAATTATTGCGAATAAACAATGTATTTTGGTTAAACTAATTTTGTTGTCAACGATATCAAATTAGATTTACTTTAAGTAAAAAATCCACTCAGTGTGTAGTTTACTAGATGTTTCATAAAATTTTTAAATGGTTCAAGAAATAGTTTCTTATGAATCTCACTAAAATATCTTCTTTCTCTGCTGTTGAAGATTAACGCGAAATATTCGTGAAACACATATTTATCGTGTAAATGAATAGCTTAATCATAAATCTAAAAGTCACTAAACCTTCACTTCAACCAGGAACTAAAAACATGTAAATTCACTAAATGGTGCCAAAATTTTCCTCTTATAAAAATAGTATACTCATAATCAGACATAAAAATAAAATATTTAATGTTAGTATAGAGGTTCTGAAAAGATAAATACTGTTTCAGTGAACTATTACCTACTATCAAAGAATATTTCGCAAAAACAAGGAAACAACAGAATTTTGGAAAAAAGCCAAGGACTTAATTAGATTTTTTTATAAAATTTCCTATTTTAAAACATGATGTTTTTATTAAACGAAATTTACATTATTTTATAATTTATTTTAGTGTATCGTGTTTTTCGAGGTTTTTTCTTTCTTTAAAACATACACATTCTGATTGTTTTTCGTCTGCCATTTCTAGTTTCATACATGAACATGATCGATGGCTTCCAAGACTGATGATAAAATTATTTTACGTGTTTCGTGATTTTGAAATATAGATGTCTTTGTTAGCATTTTTCTGGCCAATATTTTGGTTAGGAATAGATTCAATGAATTTCTATCTACTAGAAGTAAAGTAGGTGAAGACCTTAGAACTCTCAATAAGAGCAGAAATGAACATAGAGCGGGCTTAGAGGCTCTGATAGCCGATCCACCCTCACAGAACCTAGCCCGAGACCAACATAAGCCGGTCAAAGATCAACTTATGAGACAAACAGATGATTTTAACAAAGAACTTTGGTCAGCTAATACTTTTTAAATAAGTGTAACCAAACTCACCACATTAAAATAATTTATATTTTTTTAAATTATAATTTTTTGAGGGGGTTTTTGTCCCGGCCTTTTTTTGTTTAAAAATAAAATATGTATCTGAAAAACCTTAGGTGTACGTGAGAAAATATAATAATATATTTAATTTATTTCAAAGTCAAAGGTGTGCTCTTGACATGATTTCGTCCTTACATTTCTACTTAAACAAGACGGAAATAATGCGCTGCATAAATATGTATGTTCTATACACATAAATGATATATTATTATTATTATTATTATTGTTATCGTAAAAACTGATCAAATTAAGAAAAATATAATTAATTGTTATTAACAAAATTTTTTAAAACTCATGTTGAACCTTCTCCATAACTCCATAATTTATTTACTTATTTTAAACATTGCCATTACTTATTTTATTATAAATACAAGTATTTCAACTTTAATGCGATTATTTTAAATCATTGCGATTTTTTGTTGTCACTAAAACTCTATGTATGACAAAATAACTGCATTTTAGTAATAAATTGAAATAATAACTACATTTTTTCTTGATTACATACATGTTCTATTACTTATATTACTTATAACATTTATTTTACGAATAGCAAACATATTCTATTAAATGTCCTTTAAGTTAATAACAGCGTATTGATGTATCCTAAATACGTCTGTGTTTATTTTTATTTTATTGACTATCGAAGAGGCCAATTTCATTCAGAATTGATGGCGAATTTCTAAAGAAATATCAAAACCGGAAAAAGTCAGTGGCATACCATTTTTTTTATTAAAAAANA